ACTGTACCTGTTTCACGATCTATGTCAAATTTCCCATAATCACCATCAACAAAGTAATAATGAATGCCATTATTCCTATCTGTTGCATCTGCATCATGAGCTGTCACTGTTCCAACTGGGTAACCTATTGGCTCCACCTCGCTGACTTCAAAAATCTCTGTCTCGTCAAATATTGGTGCGTTATCGTTATTGTCAATCAGGGTTATGTTCAGTGGTACTGATGAAATAACAGCAAAATCAGCAGCGTTGCTGGCTTCTACCTGAGGAAGAAATATTGTATTGAAATTTAAAATGAGTTATGCCAGGAAAGCCTGATAGTATTTAAACCAAAACAATGGAACACTATTTCCATGCTATCAGCATATGTTTATATACACTTACTCTGTAACAGTATTTAGTGTTTAGTTTATAAAATATTATCTTGAATATATTTCTCTTCATGTCAACAGACACAGGGGTTTGTATCGATCCAAAAAATGAAAACAGAGTATGTGACATGTCCTGTCTTATTTCATACTGTGAAGGTATATACATATTCTAAATGTAGGAGTCTCTCCTTACTGAGGAAATCAGTCTAATCCAAAAAACATTTCCAATTCAGTCAATGGTCTGAATACAAGTTGTGGACCGTTTAATGGGATATACATGTATCAAATCATTGTAATTGTGTGACTTTGAATAAAAAAAACAAATTGATATTCTCAGTGTGGGAGAACGATTTACAGCATGGGGGAAAACAGAAGTGATAATTAAAAAAAAATCTTTGTCTGCATTTGTTTATTGGTTCTGAAACGTTTAGGGATTGCAATATTGTTCTGAGAATGTTAACACCATCTCCATGCACTAAAGAGTGCAACTTTGGAAGAACACTGATTAATATTTAAAAGTGCTTTTCTGGTTGATGGTGAAATAGTGCATTAACTTTTAATAACGCTATTATTGTAGGAATTAGTCACAATACATGGTCATCATATAGCATAAAATATGGTTTCTGTCACTGTACTAATGAATAACACTTAAAATAGCACCCTCTATAGTTCAAACATATAAATAAACAATATTTTGTTTTCTAACATTTCCTATCTAATAATACAATATGGACATTTTATATTAAATTGTAAGAGTTTGTCAACCTTTTTATATTTGCTGAGTAAATTACAATTCAGAAGTTGAGCATGGGAGAACGTTTAGCATTTTGGACAATCTCACATCAGTTTATTAGCCTAAGGATGAAATAACCCATTTTTAGAAAGATATTATCAATGGTGAGAGGTGAGAAAATATGATTAAAACAATACTTTTGTTCCAAGTGACAACTCCTGAAAGTCACTTTCTCTCTCTCATAAGAACATCATGGCAATAAAATGTCATATCAGTGGTACTAACATTCCACCAAAATCACATTTCATTAAATTCCCAGACATCACAAGTTATCTTCTAAAATAGATATCAGTTTATTCAATTTAGGTGTCAGATAAAATAGAAAGATTAAAAAAATTGATCAAACGTTCCCCGAAATGAAGACTTACTGTAAATTGATACATTTCTACATCTTCTCGATCTAGATCTCCATCACCTGAAACTGTCACTCTCGCAAAGCCAGAATCAGGTTCAAAGGTCACATTGAATAGATCACTGTCAGCGCCATTAAGACGTAAATTGATCTCAGCATTCGTACCAATGTCCTCATCAGTTACTATCATCTCCGGCAGCTGTAAACAAAATTTAAAACCAGAAAAATACTTATTTATTTGAATAGCCTATATCTTCAGATAATCAGGTTCTATATCACAATACTTAAAAAGAAGAAAAAAAAAAAGGGCTGATAGTATTTATATAAACCATCAAGAAAGTGTCAATCTAATGTTTTCAAATTATTCATGTATATAAAATGACAGATTTGATTTGATTCTATGGCAAAGCCAATATTTTGCTTTGAAACTGTTATAGTTTCAGCAGCGACGTTAATAAACCACAGTCGTGGTATAATTGTGATGATTTTGAACATGAATTTTTAACTCAACAGTCATCTTACTAAAAGTGACAATAGAATAGTTGCAGTTATTTTATCATCTGACATGTATTTATGTTCCAAAATCAAAATGGCTTCAGTTGTCATGACTACAAGAAATTGGCAATGGTTGTCGCACTGTGTCCTGCTCAATATGGGACTCATAGCGACATATACAACATGTGTAAAATACATTGTTCGTTTACAGAAAATTCGAACAACACCATCACATTTGATGATAACTCCACATACGATTATCCACCATAATGACATTACGAGATGTCATATGTCTTTCCAACATGACAATAAGAACTAAGACAATATTAACTTACAATAATCACTAATTCACCAGCAACAGAGTTTTCATCTATTGTTCCTGAATATTCAACCTCAACAAACTCTGGTGGATTGTCATTCAGATCATCCACTGTGATTACTACTTCTGTCACAGACTGAAAAAGAACAACATGAGATTATGAAATTTAAAATGACAAACTAAGTCTAGCAAACAATCAATAGTTTGCTCAAGTTTGCAATAGTATGTGCATATCTGTCAGTGATTCAGGGTATCAGAAAATACCCATGATGCACTTTTGACCAAAGTGCACTTTACTCTATTCACAACTCAATTCAGCTCACCTCATCAACCATTGACCATATACTGATTCATTTACATATTTTCTTACTCACCACCAGTGTGCCCAATAAGCCATTTTGATACGTCACTGATAAATGAGTATTCCAAATAACATCACCAGAAATTTAATTTTGAAATTTACTTTTTCTAAAAAAAATGTTTGGTAACATCAAAACATATTATAATTTTGAAAATAAGGCATGAATTTATTGATTTAATTGTATATAAATGGCACCAGATGTCACCTAGAGTCAACAAAAAAATTGATGAAAAGGGGGGGGGGGGGCGCCTAACTATCATACTCTCCCCATGCTTGACAATTCAAACAAGGAATGTTACTACGCTTTGTGTAGAGGTGCTATGAATCGTTGAAGTCAAATTGGCTCACTCAAATTGGCTCACTCAAATTAAATCACAAATCACTGTATATTAGAGGGTACACTGCTCACCACTCCACTCACTCCCTCCTACTCAAGTCACATTTACACACCTAATGCTCACGTTCACCACTCATACACTCAGTAATTCACTAATTACTACTCATTCAAC